AACTAGCGCCAAATGTCATTACACATCTCTCGTCGTGCTCTGCAGCAAAAAGCCTAGAGGCCCAATGAGCAGAGACCTTTCCCATGCCATACCCATTTGTAAGAATGTCGCCAGCCTGCTCCTGGGAGATGTCCATTCTTACCGCCATCTGATGAGGTCACAGTCTTGGATCCAGCATCCACACCCCTAGAGCAGGGTCAATGTTTTCCGATTTTGTCACCTTCTACGGCGTTTTTTGATATTTTTCATTTTGGACGCTGTTCCTGCCCTGCTTGAAATTAGCAGCTCAAGCTTAAACAGTGTCATGTGATGGGCCACAACCAATAAGTTTAATTTCAGGTCCTTTTTAATTTCAGATGAAGACATGGCTTTGAAATCGCAATACTTTATAAAAGCTCGGTTCTCGATTTTCTCCCTTTTCACCGAAGGCGGAATCTTCTTCACTTAAACGGGCTCTGAAAACGAAACGAAAATGACTAGGACTTCAAATTTGGTGTACACACCTAAGTATAGTGGCAAAATATGTGACCAAATTTTCATGAACCTGCGTCACCTGTTAGGCTCAAAACTTTTCATTCACCCCACGTATATTCAAGAATGACGATGTGTTCTCGACAAAAGGGAGGTCGCATGTGTTATCCGTATCTACCTAGTATTTGCATCTGGCATCTCAGATCCACGTTATGGAGTTATAAGCAATCTTAATCTTCTGACCGAGACGCAGCACGGGTTCCGGCCTGGCCGATCCACGGAGTCGGCGATGCTGGACACTGCCAGTTTTCTCATGGAAGGCCTGGATGGCGGCCTCATAGGGTGTCTGACGACCGCTGACACCAGTAAGGCTTTTGACAGTGTCCAGCATCCCCGGCTCCTGGAAAAGCTGGGCTGGTATGGAATCGACGCGCACTGGTTCCGTGACTGGCTGTCCGACAGATGTCAGGTGGTTCGGGGTGGTGAGGAGGTGAGACCGATCACTCACGGCGTGATTCAGGGGTCGCTGCTCGGGCCGATCCTGTTTTTGATTTTCACGAATGATCTAGCATCGTACCTGGACACAAAAACTGTTATGTACGCCGATGACGTTCAGTTTTTGCATAGAGCATCACCAAAGCACATGCCAAAACTCAAATCAGATGTAGAGAGCACTTTAGAGATCGCGAGTCACTGGTTTGTTCAAAACTGTTTGAAAATCAATCCCACCAAAACAGATCTTGTTGTTGTAAAGTCACAAAGGCGCCGACTCGACACAGAATTTACTGTTAAGTTTGGTAGTGCGACGATTCGTCCATCCGTAGCGACCAAGATTCTCGGTGTGGTAGTCGACTCCGGACTGACTTTTGAATCGCATGTGACCGCGGTTATCCGCCGATGCTATGCCACACTAGGGGGACTGTCCAGATCCGCTCGCGGCCTGCCGCGAAACGTGAAGCAGATGATCGTGGAGATGTTAATTTTTCCCCACATCCGATACTGTATGTCTGTGTGGTCGGGATGTGGCGTCGTGCAGCGACACCGTATTCAGAAGGTGATAAACCACTGTGCACAGGTCGTCATGGGAGTCCGACGCTCGGCTCATGTGACGCCTCTGTTGGCAGAGCTATGCTGGCCCCATATAGACAGGCTGGTGGCGGAGAATGACTGCAGTACTGTGCATTACTTGTTGAATAATGCATTCACGCACCGAAGTGCCTCTCTGAGCGGTTTGTACAACGCAGTGACGTGTCGAGCAGACAGACTCGAGCCACTGAGAATATGCAGCTCGAACTGCCGAGGGTCCGCACCGAACATGCTCGCAAGTTCTTTTATTACCGCGCCTATGACCATAGGTGGAGAATTGTGACCAGCTGGGGGTGCTCGGGCGCAGCAAATCCGCCGCCGCCTAGCGGTGACCTTGACCCGCGCCGCCCGGCCGCGGCTCCAAAGCCAAGCCGGCGTGGCCGGCGTGGAATTGGGAGAGCTCGAGCACCCCCAGTCCAGCACAATTCTCCACCCGTGCCTATGACGTTTGGAACTCGCTGCCAGCAGACATTCGGTCGTCACGCACGTCGGCCACTTGTCGCAGGCGTTGTCGACGATTACTCAATGGTGACTAGTCACTGTGCGCGTAGCTTTCGGTCATTTGTACCGATATGCATTTTACTTTTTAAGTCCCATGCTTTTCATGGTTTTTACTTTTAGCTTTAGTGTTTATTTTAGCTTTATATATGTGCCTACCTATTTACTGTATGACACTTGGACTGAAAAGCCGTGAGTGCATGGAGCTTCCAAACGAAATAAATGATGATGATGATGATGATAATCTAAGAAAATTCGCGTATCTTATCATTGCAAAACGCTTCCGAATTCGGGTTTCTATACAATTATACATTGTTGCGCGAATAATACGGGACACAGAAACCATATCCTGAAGGATGGAGCGTTGCGGCACAGCATAACTTCAGGCGCCCACTACTACCGCCATCTAGGAGAGATGCTCGTCAACACGTGGAGTACGGTGGAGCGTTGCGGCACAGTATAACTTCAGGCCCTCACTACTACTGCCATCTGTGAGGGAGATGCTCGTCAAGACATTCAGTACCTACGGTGAAACGTACACCTGGCCATTCCGAAATTTGAATGGATTCCTGTTACACAGATTATAGGTGATATGCTATGCGCTGATGTTCTATGAAGAGGAGACAGCGATACCTACAATTTAACCCTCGCCCTGGCAGGGGGGGGGGTCGATGCGACCCCCCCCTAAGGTTTTTCGAAGATAGCGTAAAAACGGCGGCGCAAATTTGGCACAGCCTATGGGGCAACCTTTTTACATACGACCTGAAAATTTCAGGTCCGGGTGACCTTGGGTCAGGTCACGTCAGAAAAACCGGTACAAGGTCATGGTCAAATTTCAACTTTCTTTTTGCACCTGTCCAACTCACAGTCTTGGACTGATTTCCTTCAAGTTTTCAGGATGTGCTAAGTTCACCGAGTTGTATAACACATAGTTCGGGTTTTTTATGTCACTGACCTGAGGTCAGTTAGAGGTCATTACGTCGTAATGTTAAGCCTATGGGAAAATACTAAATTCGGAAAATACTGGAGATATCCGCTTCGTTCTATCACTTTTGACTTTTGTGCTTTGAAACCACAGTATTTAAGAGCAGGTCACTTGGTGCTTCTTTGTTCGGTGTACTTATCCATGGGTCAGGTCAAATGAAGTCAACTGAGGTCAAATGACGTTTTTGCCAATAACTTGGCACATAATGACGCTAGAGCTTAAAAAATGGTGTCTTTGTATTCCTGGTGATCAGCCGAATCGAATGATATGCGATATGATGCAATTTGGTTAACTACAACTTAACTAATTAATTAACCCTCGCCCGTAAACGGCGATCTGCCACCTTCGCCCATGCAGGGGGGGGTTGGTGCGACCCCCCCCTTGGCGTTTGAAAACGGAGCGTCGTAGAGCTTAGCGGAAAAGACCAACGGATTGCTCTCTCCGAAGTCCGAGATCTCGCGATTGGTGGCATATTTTTTGGTCCTAGGTCAACATTTGACCTACTTTTGACCGGTCAAAGGTCAAATTTTTCGGAAAAATATACTTTTTCAAATTTCCGCGGCGATTGCGGCAAAACGGTGGGAGATATCGACTTGAAACCTTCACTATCGTGTTCCTTGATCAATTCTCTATCGTTTGGTATGTATTTCGTTTCCCTAGCTCTAAAAATGGCGCGTTGGGAGCGCCGGAAGTCGGCAAGGTCACAGTCGGCGGCAGAAATTCGAAAAATCAAAATTTTAAATTTTTGAAATCTGATTGTATTTTTGGATTTGGGAGGTCCATTTGCTCCCTATAGAAGCTAATATTGCTGCATATTCCCATTGAGGTGACAAGAATTAGCAAAATAGTGGTTCGGGCGCTTTTCAAAAATAGTACCGGACGCTGTTCCTCTTGTGACGTCATAGCTCCGTGACCTGACCTGACCCGGTCAAGTTTCTTATACCATATGATAGCCAATACTTGCCCCAACATGCATGGGAAGTTTCATCACGATCCATCAACCGATGTCCGTACCACCGGCAGGAAACCTCGGGCGTTGGCACTCAGTTTGTGAAAATCCGGCCGGAGGCTGTTCCCTTTGTGACGTCATAACTCCGTGACCTGACATGACCCGGTCAAATTTTTTTTTTTAATCAAAAGATGCGCAAGGTTTGCCCCATAAGGTACCCAAAATTTGGCGGCGCTGCGCGCCGCCGTTTTTGCACTATTTCCGAAAAACCTCAGGGGGGGGGGGGGGTTGCACCAACCAACCAGCAGGGTTGGTTAAAGTTTACTTAATAATTAAGAAAAATTTAAAGTACACTTGAGCGAGCAAAAAAGCATATCATTCGACGCGACTTGACGTGCTGAGCTCACTGGTGCTCTTCTTTTTGCTCTATCTTACTTAGATCAAAAGTTATAAGCGAAAAGCTTTTGACCTGTTTTTAGCGGAATTTTTACATTTTTACCCCCAAAGCCCTCCTAAATATTAACCTAAAGCAACCAAATTTGCACAGGGGCGACAACTCCAGGGGGCCCACCTACCTACCAAATTTGGCGTTTCTAGGTGCCATAGGAGCCAATCGCGAGGGGTCGCATCGACCCCCCCCCCCTGCCAGACCGTGTTATGAAAAATGCCCTGCCAGGGCGAGGGTTAATGCAGCTATGCGCATTGTGCGCACTGCGCAGCCTAACGTTCATGATTCAGAAGCTAGGACGATTAGCTTCTAAATCTTTTTCTTTTGTCACGGGGCGGCAATTGTGTAGTCATTTATTTGTGTAAATAATTCCCGTTATGTCTGTCCCACTGCCATGTTTGCCCGACCGCAGCTGAAGAGCAGCAGTGATTTTAGACACGCGTTCGTTTCAGGTTTGTTTTTGTCTGCCTTTCCGGCTACGCTACACTCCACCCATCTGTGACCTGTGGTCCTGCGTGCCGCCACCAGACGCCCCTCTAACCTTGCCGCCCGTCTGCCCGCAGGCTATACCTGTTCAAGTGTTCCGGGTGTGGGGAGCGCGCGCTGCCCCACGAGCTGGTGATGCGCGCCCAGACACAGGTGTACCACATGCAGTGTTTCGTGTGCGTGGTGTGCTGCCAGCTGCTGCAGAAGGGCGACCAGTTCGTGCTGCGACAGGGCCAGCTGCTCTGCAGGGCCGACTATGAGAAGGAGATGTTCATGCTGCAGCAGACACAGGGAGACTTCTGGGACGCCGGCATTCCAGGTAACTGTGCAATGGAGGAGTTAGCCGATGGCATTGTGGCATCAAACTAACGATAGTGACATTGCGATGCTATACATGGAAATGAATGGAATCAAGTGATTATTGTCATGCAGCGGTTGGTGTTTCATGATAAGTTCAAACTGCAGCATTTCGATGACGCCGCCCAACTAGGTCGTCGTCCTTCAAGTCGCAAATTATCGTCGATGCATGCACGGCGTTTCAAAATAGTTGCAACGTCTCACTCTTTTTGACTAAGCCAGCAAGTAGTGAAGGCCTTCTGTCCCTGTCGCAGGTCTGGACCTGGGTGACGAGACGGGCCGGCCTCGGGACGGTCGCAGGGGTCCCAAGCGGCCCCGAACCATCCTGACCTCAGCCCAGCGGCGTCAGTTCAAGGCCTCGTTCGAGGTCAGCCCCAAACCGTGCAGAAAGGTGAGATCGTCGCCTGGGGTGGCATTGAGTGATCACGGTTCGTCGTCTTGAATGCTGTGTGACAGGCATTGGTATACGATACATAAGCAATAACGCACATAGGTATCTGTACCTACAAATAATTGCATTCCAACATTACATATTTCTTATTTAAGCACATCCATCGATAATAAGATCGTCTCGAAGAAATGTAGGTACTTGCATAGGTGTCACTTATCTAAGTGCACTAGCACTAGCCAAGAAAGCAGGAATGCTTTGCACGTGACAGCCAAGTGTCGCATCGGTCGGTAAACTAATCTCGCTCGAATGCATGTACAAACTTTGACAAAGTTTCGTCACCGAACTTTTCCGTACAAAGTTTGTACAGAACTACCGGAACTTTACGACGGAGACAACAAACTTGCCGAAAAGGCACAGGAAAAGGCATAGGGTAACAAAACTGCTGCTGGTGCGCACTGATGCGAGAAAACGCATCGGCTAAAGCCTAAACTCAAACCTAAACCAATCAAAGAAGACCAAACCGTTCTGACCTCTGACGCATCACTCATCACATTCCATCAACACCAAAAGATCGTCGCTGTGCCTATGCAATTCCAATAACCGATCATTCTGGTCCCGTTTCAGATCCGCGAGGCGCTGGCCAAGGAGACGGGTCTGTCGGTGCGCGTGGTGCAGGTCTGGTTCCAGAACCAGCGGGCCAAGATGAAGAAGCTGCAGCGACGCGCCAAGCAGCAGCAGGACGGCCAGGACAAGGACAAGCCGGACAAGAAGGACGCCGCCGACCCCGCCGACAAGAAGGCAGATACTGATTGTGAGTCAAAAGTCAGCGGCATGGTTCCCCAGTGACAGGGGATGGAAACTCAGAGTAGTGTATTGATCATTTCTAACTTCGCAACGGTGAACTTTTTTGATGTTGGCAATGTGCCAGGACTAAGAGCTGTCAGAAATCGGTTACTTTATATCGCTAAGTGCCGTGTCATGATCTAAAAACGAGCTCCTTTGTGCTGCAGATGTGGCCGACAGTCCATACGGCTCTGGAACGCCCAGCGTCGGTCACCCGTACTCCCCTGACGGTAAGCAGCAGACCAATCACACTGCACAGGCAGTCACATAAACGCATTCAGTCCACTAAGCGAAAAAAGTCATTAAGATGAACACTTGAAAGCCTTATTCTAATAGTATACCGATCGCCATACACCTTTATCCCTATGCTGTAACTACTCGCAATTCACCTCCATTACCAACCAATGGACTTTTTCGTCTTTCGGTCATCGAAAAAAGAATATCGTCCCTTTCCGGCTATCCCGAGCGCCCGGGCGGGGCGCGCCCGTAGGCGGCAGCACACTAACTCTTTTCCATTGTTTCAGCACAATCAAACGAGAGTTTCTGTGGCTCGGATGACGTCAGTCTCGAGGACACCGCCTCATTTGAGAACCTCGACGAGAGCCACGCCGAACCCAACATGTGAGTAGCCACGCCAATCGTTATGGATTCTAGTTTATATCTTTCGAGGCAGAGTGAACGATTGAGCCGCCTAATCGAGTGCACTGTTACGACTTAATACTTATTCAGACCTTTGCAGCGTTCGTGAAAGAGTCCAAGCGGTAGTATCAGGCTAAACCATTCGACCTTCAGAGCCCCAATATTCGGCCGGGCGCGTCCGTTTTATCCTGTACTATCCCGAAATGGAAACACCCTCAGTTTGTTTTTCAATAGAAAAACACAATTCTAAAGAATAGTGTTTGTCTAATGAAGAAACAACCTTCGGGTATGTAGGATGCGTCCGAGCAAAACACTGACAGCCCATGGAACTGTCTTCCGCAGGATGCAGACGTCGTCAGCCCCACAGCCGCTGGACATGATGCAAAACTACGGCAGCATCAACCCCATCGACAAGCTGTACCTCATGCAGAACTCGTACTTCACCGACCGTGACCACTGAGGACCCGCTACTGCAGGCAAATGATGGACAGGACTCGCCGTCACGTCCGAACCAAGCCGAGAAAAACTAGCCGAGGAGCCGGCAGAACAGGCCCTACTGTTAACGCCAGACCCCTTGAGACCCTAATTTTTCGCGATTACTTTTAAATGCGTGAAGGAATTACAACCAAGCTCAGGACATGGCCGTTTCAAGACAGGCCGAAACTTTTACAATTTAGATATTTTATCGCCATTTCAATATTTCAGGCACTTGTCATTGACTCGTAATGTTAAATTTCGAGCAAGATTTTCATCCGGTGTGTAGAGGCTATCACCAGTCAGTCTGTGATACGTTATGACGTCACAGCTAAGCCCCGCCTCTGTGGTCTTGGCCTGCGGCGGTTTCGGGCCGGCGCGCGGTCACTCTCGCTGTGGCGGGGAGCGGGGACGGGCGACGGTCGAGCGGTGCCGAAAGCCGGCGGAGTTGTGCGTAGCGTCTTGGCTGACAGTGCCCAGAGAGCGACATGATGACTAAGGAGTCATTAATGCTCAATGCGCATTGCTTCTACAATGCTGATATGTTCGCTGATATATTTTTTTTTATATAAGCTGCAAATGACGGGCAGATGGCATATAACTGACAAGGTTAGGAAATATTCACCTGTATTTAAAGCCTATGGCGTTGCAGATAATGCGATAATGGGATGTCGGATGTCACCAAGTAGCTGCCGATTTGTACATCGCTATGCAACCATCGAACAACGCAATAATAAGTTAATTGCCTGAGCTTCACATCATACGGCTCGCTCGTATTTCAAACAGATACCCTACATCGAAAATCGTATTTGTTAGGAATCGTTAACGTTTGTTCGAAGCACGACTGAGTAGTAGGTTGAAGAGTGATGGTCCTCTTGGTCCTATATACAAGAGTCAACAAGAGCCTAACATTTACTTGACCGTCTGCTGCAATTGACTCATAGCACGTGAAGCGTCAGCGAAATTCATAGTCCTTCACAGATGGCAGGGGTGTCGTTTGTACAGAGGTCGCTGATGGGCACGGGTCAATGCCGCAGTCGTGGGCGGAGCCTAATGTCATATGACGTAGAAAGCCTCTATCCAGGATGGAAAAACAGTTAACATTACGAGTCAATGACAAGTGCCTGAAATATTGAAATGGCGATAAAATATCTAAATTGTAAAAGTTTCGGCCTGTCTTGAAACGGCCATGTCCTGAACTTGGTTGAAATTCCTTCACGCACTTAAAAGTAATCGCGAAAAATTAGGGTCTCAAGGGGTCTGGCGTTAACAGTAGTCCGCTTGGAAATGTGACCGATTGGTCAGCGCTAGTGATAAAGTTTGCAAATGGCTGACATGGGACGGCAAACAAGTCTCGTCAGTAAAAGACCGGCAGGGCAGTGGCATTCTGTGAAATGTGAAGGAGTGGCCCCAGTGGACTCAGCCGTCACCCATAATTCTAGTCAGAGCACTGGCCGGCTCGTGAGTGTCGACAGCAGCTCGCTGATCGTGTTCGCCGCTGTGACAGCTGCAGCATGTGGACAGCTGATGACAGCGATGATGTCACACATACTCCTCCGAAAACGGAAGAGTAAAAAGGCGTAGACTGTCGGTTATGACAGCGGTGACGATGGAGCAAATGTGTACTTTATATCGCTGTCGACCAGCATACCGTTGACACCAGATGCTACATCAATGTTCAAATCGGTGAGGACTATTTTTGCAATAAAAGACCTCACAGACAACACAAGACCGTCGGGACAAGCGAACTGTACAGATTGTGTCTGTACAGTGTTTGACATGATGTCAATAGGATGTGGCGTGCATGGACGCGTTGTCAGACAGTCTGGACTGTGCTCGGACCCGCACCGTGCGGTGGTGGGCACCGGTGCAGCTGTTTTGTGATACCCCAGAGTCTGTGTGTGACGTCACTCGCGGCTGATGGCCTCAACATTCCACCGGGAGGGCGTGGGGGCTGGTCAGTGGTCAGCGTGCGGTTATACGTGTGACGTCATACACAGCGGCGATCTTTCCGTGCAATGGAGTCTGTGCGACCGTGGCGCCCTCTGTACTGTACAGTCGAGCGGTGTCCGGAAATATGTATCAAATGGGAGAAATGTCTGTGTGCTGGCCGCTCATGTGTGTCTACTGTGTATGTAACACCAGCTGTTAATCTTTTGCATCTGTAATAAAGAAATGTGAGTGAACACGGATGGTGAGAATCGTACTTGCCACTTGGGCAGTAAATCGTAACATCTTTCAAGTTGCTAGTGCATTCAGAGTTCAGACCTCAGTAGTCAGCATGTCACTGACAGAAAGTACGAAACACTAAATATGACGACCTAGCAAAATAACTAAATATGACGACCTAGCAAAATAGCCAGCGATTTTGTCGAATGAATTGTAATTAAAAACGAACGATTTAAACTTCTATTTATTGACTTTAAAGACAGCAAACGCTTCCATTTCACTGGACCCACCAGCTAAGTGCACTTATCTAAGACAAGTTACACGACGGCTCATACACCTCTATGCATTGCAAAATATAAAACGAGTGAGCACATAAATATGTTAATCTGAGACGTTAGCTGCCAAAACGTGCGTAGCCCGTCCCGAAACCATGATTAGGGTGAGTATTCAGAGAAAGCACGACACAACGGGACACAAGTAAATGAGTAACTCAGCGGGGAGCAGACAGGACTAGCGTGAGTGGGTTACAGAGATTGCACGTGGGTCAGTGACGAGTCGCGGCGCAGCGCACGCCGTCTTTGGTGTCAGTGAGCGCCCGGCACGGCTGTACCGAGCCGGGGAGGTTAATACAGGCACATGACGATTGCACAACGGACAGTAGTGGACGGCGGAGGCGACAGCGGTGGCAGTGACGGTGCCCGCTCCGGCGCCGCTCGTCAGCGGTTAATACTGGTGGGTGGCCGACCCGGCCGAGCGCGAAATACGCCACCACTGGTTCGGTCCGGTCCGATTCCGTCTAGCGGACCAATTGTTTGCAGCGGCCTACACTAGTCCAGTAAGTTAGCTCTCTAACAGCCATTATAACATTAAGTAGACGGATATATAATAATCTCCAGTTTCCAGCGGTGTCTTCCTAACGAGGCGCACGGCTTATGAATCTTCAGTAGCTGCTTTCCGGCCAGCAAGCGAGGAGCGATTGGGACGGATTGTTTGTGCCTGACGCGGTGTCTTAGGGGGGGGGGGGGGGGGGGGGGGCAGGCAGAGCCCGGCGCGCAGACACCACTCTGCCTGGCCTCGCAGTAGCAACTGGTGTGTTTGTTCCCATATAAAGCTACCAATTTTAGCTACCACCCGTCTGCAACACAGGGCATGTCTATACATGAGGCAATATACAATACAGTGACACCTGCCCTGCCCTGTGAACACGCAGGCAACCTACATCCTCCCCACGCGACTGTGTTCGTGTTGCTCTTACTGAACGTCGTACGTCCCACGGCGGTTCCTCGCTCACCGCCTCGTCCGACGCCCGTCTGATCACCGGCACCGATCACCGACTATCAGCTACCAGAGCTGGTGGTGATCGTGCAGGTTACGGACCTCACGACTGGCCGGCCGGCACGGACTCGCCGCCGAGCTGTGGCTGTGGCGACTGAACGAGGGCGACCTGGGGGCGAGCGGTGAGGGTCAGTGAGGGAGACAGCGCCACCTGGGTACGTTAACAACAGCCGTGGCTGTGGCGACTGAACGAGGGCGAACTGGGGCGAGCGGTGAGGGTCAGGGAGGGAGACAGCGCCACCTGGGTACGTTAACAACAGCCATGGCTGTGGCGACTGAACGAGGGCGACCTGGGGGCGAGCGGTGAGGGTTAGGGAGCGGACAGCGCCACCTGGGTACGTTAACAACAGCCGTGGCTGTGGCGACTGAACGAGGGCGACCTGGGGGCGAGCGGTGAGGGTTAGGGAGCGGACAGCGCCACCTGGGTACGTTAACAACAGCCGTGGCTGTGGCGACTGAACGAGGGCGACCTGGGGGCGAGCGGTGAGGGTTAGGGAGCGGACAGCGCCACCTGGGTACGTTAACAACAGCCGTGGCTGTGGCGACTGAACGAGGGCGACCTGGGGGCGAGGGGTGAGGGTCAGTGAGGGAGACAGCGCCACCTGGGTACGTTAACAACAGCCGTGGCTGTGGCGGCCGAACGAGGGCAACCTGAGGGCGAGCGGCGAGGGTCAGAGAGGGGAGAGACTGCGCCACCTGGGTATAGCAGACAGCGTGGTGACGGTAGCGACCTCTGACAAGAATCCAAGCCGACAAGATACTAGGTGGGAACTTACATTGAACGGAACAAACGGTCAGATATATAATAACGCGATGCATGAACTGTTAAATGAGAGCACATAAAATCCAAAAGCTCGGAAGCACAATGCAAACTTTACAATTAAACACAACCCAAACGTGAGCTGTTGCCAGCACGGCAAACAATGAGAACCGGAGAAGCATCATTATTAACCTTGGAAAAAGTATCTACTCGGTAGTCGGTACGTGATGAGTCGGTACACAAGGCCACTGTGACGCTAGCATTTTTCTTGCGATTACTTACCCGTTGACTCCGACCATCGAAGTGACTTCATACCCGTTCTTCATCGGTGATCGCCTCTTATTGGGATAGAACAGCTCATCCTCTGCAATTGAGCAGGCTTTATCATTATGACGGCTAGGGCCCGTGTATATTCCCCAAATCAACACAGAATGAACGACGGATCGCAGAAATGCGATATTTGATGTGGAGCCTTTATATGGATGTCTAAAAACCAAGCCATAATAAGGAATCAGCTGGATTACTAGGATCACTCACTGGAGAGGAGGCAGGGGTAAGGATAGGGCGTCTGGTTCGCTCCACCGTCGGTAGGTGGCACTGGCAGCGGTCCACAGTTCGGCAGCACGGGCGAGCCCCGAGATTGAGGCAGGGGCGGCCCGCAGGCCGGCTGGCCGCGGACTGGTGGAGCCGGCGACTGGCAGGAGGACAGGTAAGGGAAGGATCGACGGCCCGCCGGGTGGGGAGGCGGGAAACCCCTCCCAGTGGGACAGCTGTCGAGGTGGGTGACGGGACTAGAACGATGAGGGGATGCAGTCGATGATCTGCGGTCAATGGAAGATCCATCCGGGTGGGAGGGAACACCATGTTTTAATGAAGGTAGAGAGGGAAATGGCCCACCCGAGGGAGGGTTGTTGAATTTCTGCGGGGATATTGCGGGGAGAAACCCTCCTGAGTTGACCGATGTAGCTTTCGCAGATCTCCCCGCTGAGCTAACTTCTCTCGATCCGGACAGATCACCGACCATCTCGGTAACATTTCCGGACGGTTTTGTCCCTCCTATAGGCACATCCCCTGATGTGTGCTCTATCTGACGCTGATCCCCTCCCACCCCACCATCCCTCTGAGAGACCGAAACCACCGGAGACTGGTTCAGATTTGACCCAGACCTAGCACCCTCCGCAGCACCCAGACCCGGCCTCTCCCCGTTTACCGGCCACTGAAGAGGATGCACCACATTTCGCGCCACCCGGGGAGCTCCTACGGTCTCAGTCAGTGAGGACCCCTCCCCTGGTGTGGACTCTACCCCAGGGACCTGTGGTATCACCGGATGAGCTCTACCAGGATGACCAGAACCCGGGGAGGAGAGGGGTGAGGAGAGAGGATTGGGACGGGAGGGGGAGGATGGAGGATGGTGTAATCCACCCCGAGCGGCCGCCGCAGCCAGTCGCCGGTCGGTCGGAGGGACACAGGAGGTCACCAGCCGACGACAGCCTCGGCGGCCGAACGAGTGACGGCCGGGAGAATGAAAGGCTGACACGGGCTCCACGGCGGGGTCGGTGGCTGAGCGACGGCCGGCCGCCGGCCACCAGGCCGGGGAGACAGGCGCCACACGGACACTGAACAGGGCGTCACCTGGAGGATTGGTACCAAACATTACACGTCTGCTGCAACGTCATCGGAACTAGGAGTCATCGGAGTAGAGTAGGTAGCTACTGATATTGTATCCTCAGTCAGCCTGGCAGGGAGAATGGCCTAGCTCTCCCCAGCCACGTGAGGTTCAACAATGAACAAAAACAAGTTGACCTATCGTACTTCAACAGTCAGCACATTCCTAGCCAGCGTACAGCACGGTATCGCACCAACACCACGCGCTACACTGCCTTCCATTCCATTCCATTCCATTCCATTCCATTCCATTCCATTCCACTGCCTTCCATTCCTCGGCACGTTCTCACCTTCGCGGTCTGAGAAAAATCCCGGGTAGACGACAAAGTTGTTCATCTGCGGGCAGGGCTGTCGCAGTCCGTAGTGTTTGGCCAAGAACGAGGTGAGCTTATCCGAGGGCCGGTCAATGGCCAGATGTACCGGCTCCACTCGCTCCGTCTGCGAAAAAAAAAATGGGGCGAAATGGGGCACGATTAGAGATTTATAAATAAAAGGAAATACAGTGACTATGACCGCGGCGGGGGCAAAAGCGCGAAAGAATGAGGTAAGAAGCTGTGACAAAGTAAGGGGTACGCTATGAGCCAGGGCTGCGGAGTCGGAGTTGGAGATGGAGTCAGGGTCGACAATTCTACCGGCGTCGGAGTCGGAGATGGTTTTTGAAAGCCGGAGTCGAATTCGGAGTCGGGGTCCAAAAATCCATCGAATCCGCAGCTCTGCTATGAACTAAGGGGACGATGGGTAGTTACCTACCCAATGACAGCACATCGACTCATCTAGCAATGACCGGGAAAGTGAATGTCATTTAGCAAGATTAAGGAATGTAACAATGATGGAGTTTCCTATCGATATAGAAGGGTAGTCTCGAACTCGACAAAAGCGCCGGCTCGGTGGAGCGCGTCGCTGTATAAACACGGCGGCTGCCTGCGGTGGCAGAGCGCCGGGCTGGTGTGAAGGGCACGTGACGGTCACCTGTGTGAGAGCCGGTCACACGACGGCAGCCAAGTACAACCCGCGGCGGCCGACAACAATGGAATACCAGCGGGCCGGGCTGGGGCGGGGTGCATGGAGCCGTCACCGTACTCAGCAGTGCATGGACCGACAATGAAAGTGATACATAGGGCGACACAACAGCCAGATCGCATACCGACTGAGTGGCCTGTTAGACACTTCAACGAGCGGCAAGTAGAGATGGTTACTGCAGATGGACATAATAGAAACACTGCACGAAACGTAATCATATAAACGACCACAGTCTGTTGAACAAAGACGCCCGATCGTTCTGTTTCACTTGGTGCGATGACGGCAGTGCAACGGTACAATGTGCGGACCGGAGGAAGCAGCGGCGAAACTTATGTCAGGCACCGTGAAGCAGCAACGCAGTTAGCGAATGCCATGTCGAATGGCAGCACGACGCGGCGTGCAATGAGAAAACAGAGCAAGATAAAAATGTGCTATTACATTAAAAAAACGGTAGGGGTATTCATAATTTTATCAGAAACACAGCTTTTAAATAAATATGATCATTGCTCATTCAAAACAGACGAATCGATACAGCTAGCAAGTCTCGGTACGATGAAAATGCAACATGCAACGGGTGTTTCAAGGAAGGACAACTGCAGCACTAACCACTGGACTGGAAGCAAACGCCGAATATGAAAGAAAAAAGGAACGTGGTATGTTTTATTCAATAAATATGATGCATTCAATATTCATTTTATCCAATGAATATGAAACACAATAATCGGAATGCACAAAATTAACGTTATCATATGCGAAAAGGTACGAGGCAATGGCGTCTCGTACCTAAGCAATCGTGTCCAGAGAAACCTACGAAGCAGGAAAGTTAAGTTAGAGGCATTGAAACAAGTCACAATGAACAACGAGTTGGGCAACATAGATATATTCATGCAACTTAACAAAAGATTCCTAACGTACGAAGTTACGCTGAAAAAAACGCAAGTAAGTTCCATATTTATTAAATGTTATCAAGAAAGAATTGTCATTTAGACTCAAATCAGCTTGAGGGCGACTAGCTGTGCTCCATCATGGCCATTCATTGAGCTGTCAGCTTTATAGTTTATTCGGATAAGTAAAAGCTAAGCCCGTCTGTTGTCATTGAAATATGTTGAACACTTGGGGCAGTGCGTCGCATCTGCAGCGGCTGTGACTGTAACGGGTTTTCACATTCCGCGGTGATTCAAAGTCCCGAGATAGTGGTGGAATATCTGTGCTTGACAAGAAACCGGTGTGTATATAGGCCGTCCACACAATGCTTTATTGCTCTATCTTCCAAAGATTGCTGTTACAAAGGAATATCTGATCAGTAGGCAGTTTGAGGCCCAGCTCTCTCGAGAAGGGATGAGAGGCGTGGGCCAGCCATCCAGTCGGCCGCGAGCCCAGTGCACTGATGGGCGGCGCCCGCTCAGCTCACCGGCCGGGACTGGGGAGGGGCGACAGTCGGGGGGGGGGGCGCACCCCACCCTGTCGGACCCACCTGCAGCATCGCGTCGAACAGCTGTCGTCCGTAGCCGTGCCTCTGCAGCGACTCGTGCACGTAAAAGTCCAGCACACTGACGGGCATCACCTCGTTCTGGCCACCGGACGAGTCCAGGATGAACAGACGCTTCCGGCCCACCTTCAGAAAGCCCACGCAGATGTCGGCGCCGTCCACCGATCTGAGATAGGGGAGGGGGAAGGTCAGAGGGAGGTGCTGCAGACGTCCGCTCCGCGGCATTCACAAACCTGAGTAGAGGGGAGGACGGTCACGGACAGCCAGGAAGGAAGGTGGGAGGGCGGGGGAGACTGGGAAGAGGATGATACAGATGAGGGACGACATGGTCGCCGAGGCATCTCACTCTAAATAACGGATGAAAGAGAGACAGACTAGAGAAGACAAGATGCGCAGTGGCTAATACGCTCTTACAAGACACAGGGGCAAATATCAATTTAATAGTTTTCGACCTGCCCGATGCATTCGTTCGTGATTGTGTGATAATTGCCGAAGATTGTTTCAGGAAATCATCTCAGTGCTATTTTCACCGGGATGTGTAATTATGTAAAATAATGGAAATAGGGAGGCAAGTAAAAGACACTAATAGCATATTTATGGTTAGACTACCATGGGCACAAAACAATAAAATCGAGTAGAACGACGAGCTGTGTGGGACGAATCAATCAATCAAACGAAATTCAATCGGCGATGAAAGCGTTTCCGAGGCAGGCAGACGTCTGATTTCGGCAGAATACATGAATAAATCAGTGTGATGACCTGAAAATCCATACTGTATTTCTGTAAATCTCACGGTTTTGCACGTCTGACTGCTCGCGTGAACACTAATCCACCTCTTCCAGCTATTCATGCTGACCTAAACGGAAAGGCTAGAGCTAAGCTTCCAGGCCTTTCGTGTCCAACAGATTTCACCAAAGACAAAGCTATCCGGCCGGATGTCTAGAATCATCGGACCACATGTTGCCGGAGCGCTTAGAATGAGGATCTCACTGAATTAGCCGCGGAAGCGGCTGCCTTGGACGGCTGCCAGCCCACTCCGACATTCCTCGCCGGCCAGCTCGACACAGGCACAGTACAGCGTGCAACACTGGTTGGCCGGGAATCCGGCCGCCGCCGCCTGCTAATTCAGACGTGCAACCAGAATCCGCTTGTCGCCCAGCCCATCAGTGGACCGGCCGGGACTGGCCCGCTCCACTATCGTCCAGGGGCGGACCGGAGGACGTATAAGGCACGGCGGCACGGTACGGCGGCCGTGACAGCCCAGCCTGCACGGGCCGCCGCCTCAGTGCAAGGTCAGAGCGCGTCCATCGCCGCGCGCCGGGCGGCCTCAATCGTCAGGGCTCGTTACTCATCCCTCACTCACACCCGCACCGATGACGGTGTTCGCAGAACGAGTATTCCGCCAGAGATGAGGCGGCAGGTTCACAAGATCGGACGTGCCGTACGTGGCAGTTGGCACTTGTTCGGTATAACGCCATATGAGGACAGAACGGCGTGGATTCCACGAGGACGGAGTGAGTCACATGTCAGTCATACCAGCGACCTTTTTACGTCATTGACAGTGACGTGTGTTTCACAACTGGTAGAAGGTAGTGGTGTTGGACTTTTGCAATTGACTGCCGAGTTTTGTGGATCACCTATAATAAATTTTGTCGCTTTTTGTGGTTCGGTGTCCATTTCCTTGCGAGAGAAAACTTACGAACTACATATAAACAGCGCTCAGAACAAGTAAAACTACCTGTATGACGGCACGTAGAATATAAGAAAATACCGCAACTTTACACCAGCGTGCAGATGCCATGATATGTCACGTCTGTGTTCTCTTTCTGACAGCTTTGGTTTACCAGTGGATCTTATCTCTGGACGGTGAGGCAACAGCACCAACCAATTCCAGCGTCCATGGCCTGAGGCGCCTCACGCACGCGTCGGGCGCCCGCCGTCCTGCCAGTCTACACTGACCCAGTTTCATCAGTGGCTAATGACCAATGACCGAAGGGCAGTGACCGATGCCCGATGACCAATGATCAGTGACCGGTGACCAATAACCAGCGATCAGTGACTAATGAGCAGTGAACGGTGACCAACGAGCAGTGACTAACACGCAGTGACCGGTGACCAATGCGCAGTGACCGTTGACCAGTGACCAGTGACCATGGTGGCATCTGTTCCAGTCCAGGGCTACCAAACCGGTCGGTGCCGCGCTGGGGGCGGGTCACAACCAGCTCCTATATCGATCCTCTGATCGACCTTGACGTCCTAAATACTTTGGAGGTCAGACCGGTCGGCGGTATGTGTAATCACTAATCACGCATGTGTTATCTACTAAACTGAACTGAGTAGAATACAGACTCTTAGCTCATGCATTTGCTGCGGATTTACAAACTCATCAAACGGAATGGCGGAAGCTGTTCAAGTGTTCACAGCAGGAGCTCCACGAAGCCAGCGGTTTGCGCTGCGCAGTCGTTAGGTAACAAAAAGACCGCACTTCCCACGCTGGACCGCCAGCGTCGCGGGTCACGCGTCAGAAGTGGCCCGTTTCCACGGCACGTCCACGGGTCGGTGCGCTCTGTTGAACCTTTTGTCGCCCCGGACTGCCCGCGGCGGCCAGCAGTGTGCACGGTTTGGTGCGGACCATCCACGCAAGACGAGCCGGTGCTCTGAACTGGGCCCGGCACGTGAAAGGCCACGGAGCGATGGTGGAACGGGCGTCACACAGTGGCGGTCACCCGGCACCGGGGCCAGGATCAGGACCGCGACTGGGACCAGGAGTGAGACCGGAGCAGGACCAAGACCGATACCGGGACCAGGGATCCGGACCAGGGCATGAGTGAGACCAAGACTGCCAGCCGGAGCTGAGACCAGAGCCACGGACCCGGACAGATACCGGGACCAGGGGCCAGGACCGAGACCGTAACAGAAGTCAAACCGTAACAGGAGTGAGACTGTGCTAGGACCGATGCTGTAACAGGAGTGAGACCGGAACCGTTCACCGGGACTGAGACCATGACTGGGGTATGGGCGTTAAAGAAAAGGGCCCACACCAGTACCAGGATCAGGAACGGTTCTATAACCGAAACCCGAGACGAAACCGGAACCAGAACCGAGGCATAGAACCCGTGCGGAGAATAAACCCAGAACAAAAGCCGACACGAGACCGGATCCAAAAACGATATGTGAAACATGCGTAGTAATATGCAAAACTAGGAGGCATTTGAAATCACTGGCTATGACCCCAAAAACCTGACTCTTCCACAGGAAGCTAGATACTATGCCACTGCGAATTGGTGCTTGCCCTGACATGGGACATTAAAGGGACCCTCCCACCTTCAAAAAAGTTAATGAATTGGCATGAAAGTGATGTCACTCGGTTCAGAAAGAGCAAAAAGGAATATCTACCAAATTTCATCGAAAAATATTCACCGGTTTTCAAGATATTAGACTTTTACTTTTGTTTACTTTTTGGGATCTCCGCTGTTCCTAGCGATTTTATTTGAAAGTGCGGCATTTGTTGCGCGCAAAGCAGCATATACCACCGCGTGCTACCAAACGTTTTAGCAAAAGATTTAAAATCGTTAGATATCTGCGCTGACGTCACACATTCAGAGGGGTATTCCTATGCATTAGCCCCTCTGAATCAAAATGCTGCAATTTTGAAATTCAATATTTCCGATTTAAGGCATTTCTCGATGTTGTGAGTGCCGAAACCGGTAATTGTGAGCCAGGGACCCCATTTTGGCTATCTCAACTCAAATCTAATGTTAAGGTGGGAGGGTCCCTTTAAGGTTGAATCAATGAGGTGAGAAGAAGCTGTAGCCAGTCTCCAAATTGGTTGCACCCACCTGTCAGGGTGCTTCCTGGTGATAATGTACACAATGTGATTCTCTGAAGTCCTCAGCTTCTCCATGGTTGTGATGACCTGTGAGAGACCCTGAGCACGTGCTGATGCAGCTCCCATTCTGTCCAACACTTCACCCAGTGCCATCTTGCTGGATGGGCTGCAAAGATTACACAGTTTTAGGTCTCTCAATATGATTAATGCTAACAATTAACATGCCTCAAACAATTGCATGCCATGTCAAGTGGATGCCTGCCAGACAATAATAAAGTTGCATAAGTTATCATGATGAATAATTATAACAAAATTATGGCCTGAATCTGGCATTCATTGTATTGGTGGTACCTATGCATATAGAAAACTATAGTGCATACTGCCACACTGACAAGCAAAATTATATTTGACAATAGCCAGACATGTGAACAGATCCCAGACAACCATTCAGGAGAATCTGATGGCTTTGAGATCAAAGGAGTTCAAGCATGTAATTGCTGTGGAAATCATTGCTTACAAAGCCATCCATGATCCAAATGGCCTAACATTCTTGCCATTCCTTCAGAGTTGACAGTTCTGAGAAAATCACACAAGATCCAGCTCAGATCCATGATGCAATATCATGATCCAGGACCGACCAGCTTAGTTAGATCCATGGTCCAGGATAGTAGTCCAGTTCATATCTATGATCCAGGATCACAGATCTAAGCTGGATCTTGTGTGTTAATGATCCAGCTCAGATCCATGATCCAGGATCTGAGCTGGATCTATCAGTGTGATTTTCTCAGCACCGTCAGCTCTGAAGGAATGCAAGAATGTTAGGTCATTTGGAGCATTTTATGTTTCACAGTTTCAGTTTATTGATGCAGGTTTTTACTCACTCAAGTCTGCAGAAGTGTTTGTAGTAATACTCTGAAGGAGTTGATGAATTCAGGGATCCATCAACCACTTTTGGAGTGAGATCTCGTCCGATGATCATCAAATCTTCAGGGAAAATAGAATCCAACGAAAATTGAAAGTTCATGACTAATTTTCCAGTTGCTTCTGCCAATAAACACACAGGCTGCCACCAAAGTTTCAATACACTGATAATATTTGCCCTCAAGCTCACACCTGCCGCGCCAAACCCGCGAGCATGCCCGTGACACTTGTGAGGGGTCTAGAAAACTGGGACAAATCAAAACAATTTCAATCGGATCCGAGGCCAAAGTGCAGATAAAATAATTTGTCTTTTGTTATGACGCTTTAAGATTCTGCAAAAAGTTTAGAGTCCAGGTTTGAAACACGTTTTTTGCAGTTTTTCATCAACAAAGCTGGTCATTGGGATACAAATTATGAAAATGATCTCAGAATGGGCGCATATTCAAGATCTGTTGCATAATTTATCCTTCAAACAATTATTTTACTAGATAGTGTTGTGTACGTCATCAAAATTACGTGAAGTGTATTTTCATTAGTGGCCGCTGTTGATGACTGACCGTACAATTGCCGTACAATTGATGATTTATAAATGACGTTTATTACAACACTTTTCTACATTTGCATTTGTTTTAGCGTCAAATGTCTTACTAAATACCTGATAAAATTCAGAATATTTAAAATTTATTCAGTTCTTAATCTTTTATCCATGAATTAGGCAAACAGTGTTTTATAGTTTGCTTTTTACGTCTCTTTTGATATGTCCGTGAAGTTAGCGTCAGCAACAGCAACGAATACAGCGTCGGATTCAGAATCGCTTAAAAAACTCATGTTAGGTCAATTGGGGGACGGGGAGCAAGAATATGACCTTTATTTGGCCCTAGCTCTTACCCCTTACCCCTTAATCGGCCCTTAAAGGAAGGGGCGCGTCAAAAGTGCCTCAAGGGTTCGTCTGATCGCCAAAATAAGGGTCGCAATCGATTTCTCGGGTCAATATCTAGCCGCAGCCTCGGGTTCCAGATGTGTGCAACTTACCCCTTACCCCTTAATCGGCCCTTAAAGGAAGGGGCGCGTCAAAAGTGCCTCAAGGGTTCGTCTGATCGCCAAAATAAGGGTCGCAATCGATTCCTCGGGCCAATATCTAGCCGCAGCCTCGGGTTCCAGATGTGTGCAACTTACCCCTTACCCCTTAATCGGCCCTTAAAGGAAGGGGCGCGTCAAAAGTGCCTCAAGGGTTCGTCTGATCGCCAAAATAAGGGTCGCAATCGATTCCTCGGGTCAATATCTAGCCGCAGCCTCGGGTTCCAGATGTGTGCAACTTACCCCTTACCCCTTAATCGGCCCTTAAAGGAAGGGGCGCGTCAAAAGTGCCTCAAGGGTTCGTCTGATCGCCAAAATAAGGGTCGCAATCGATTCCTCGGGTCAATATCTAGCCGCAGCCTCGGGTTCCAGATGTGTGCAACTTACCCCTTACCCCTTAATCGGCCCTTAAAGGAAGGGGCGCGTCAAAAGTTCCTCAAGGGTTCGTCTGATCGCCAAAATAAGGGTCGCAATCGATTCCCCGGGTCAATATCTAGCCGCAGCCTCGGGTTCCAGATGTGTGCAACTTACCCCTTACCCCTTAATCGGCCCTTAAAGGAAGGGGCGCGTCAAAAGTGCCTCAAGGGTTCGTCTGATCGCCAAAATAAGGGTCGCAATCGATTCCTTGGGTCAATATCTAGCCGCAGCCTCGGGTTCCAGATGTGTGCAACTTACCCCTTACCCCTTAATCGGCCCTTAAAGGAAGGGGCGCGTCAAAAGTGCCTCAAGGGTTCGTCTGATCGCCAAAATAAGGGTCGCAATCGATTCCCCGGGTCAATATCTAGCCGCAGCCTCGGGTTCCAGATGTGTGCAACTTACCCCTTACCCCTTAATCGGCCCTTAAAGGAAGGGGCGCGTCAAAAGTGCCTCAAGGGTTTGTCTGATCGCCAAAATAAGGGTCGCAATCGATTCCTCGGGTCAATATCTAGCCGCAGCCTCGGGTTCCAGATGTGTGCAACTTACCCCTTACCCCTTAATCGGCCCTTAAAGGAAGGGGCGCGTCAAAAGTGCCTCAAGGGTTCGTCTGATCGCCAAAACAAGGGTCGCAATCGATTCCTCGGGTCAATATCTAGCCGCAGCCTCGGGTTCCAGATGTGTGCAACTTACCCCTTACCCCTTAATCGGCCCTTAAAGGAAGGGGCGCGTCAAAAGTGCCTCAAGGGTTCGTCTGATCGCCAAAATAAGGGTCGCAATCGATTCCTCGGGTCAATATCTAGCCGCAGCCTTGGGTTCCAGATGTGTGCAACTTACCCCTTACCCCTTAATCGGCCCTTAAAGGAAGGGGCGCGTCAAAAGTGCCTCAAGGGTTCGTCTGATCGCCAAAATAAGGGTCGCAATCGATTCCTCGGGTCAATATCTAGCCGCAGCCTCGGGTTCCAGATGTGTGCAACTTACCCCTTACCCCTTAATCGGCCCTTAAAGGAAGGGGCGCGTCAAAAGTGCCTCAAGGGTTCGTCTGATCGCCAAAATAAGGGTCGCAATCGATTCCTCGGGTCAATATCTAGCCGCAGCCTCGGGTTCCAAATGTGCGCAACTAACCCCTTACCCCTTAATCGGCCCTTAAAGGAAGGGGCGCGTCAAAAGTGCCTCAAGGGTTCGTCTGATCGCCTATAATAAGGGTCGCTATCGATTCCCCGGGTCAATATCTAGCCGCAGTCTCGGGTTCCAGATGTGTGCAACTTACCCCTTACCCCTTAATCGGGCCTTAAAGGAAGGGGCGCGTCAAAAGTGGCCCAAGGGTTCGTCTGATCGCCAAAATAAGGGTCGCAATCGATTCCTCGGGTCAATATCTAGCCGATTAAGGGGTAAGGGGTAAGTTGCACACATCTGGAACCCGAGGCTGCGGCTAGATATTGACCCGAGGAATCGATTGCGACCCTTATTTTGGCGATCAGACGAACCCTTGAGGCACTTTTGACGCGCCCCTTCCTTTAAGGGCCGATTAAGGGGTAAGGGGTAAGTTGCACACATCTGGAACCCGAGGCTGCGGCTAGATATTGACCCGGGGAATCGATTGCGACCCTTATTTTGGCGATCAGACGAACCCTTGAGGCACTTTTGACGCGCCCCTTCCTTTAAGGGCCGATTAAGGGGTAAGGGGTAAGTTGCACACATCTGGAACCCGAGGCTGCGGCTAGATATTGACCCAAGGAATCGATTGCGACCCTTATTTTGGCGATCAGACGAACCCTTGAGGCACTTTTGACGCGCCCCTTCCTTTAAGGGCCGATTAAGGGGTAAGGGGTAAGTTGCACACATCTGGAACCCGAGGCTGCGGCTAGATATTGACCCGAGGAATCGATTGCGACCCTTATTTTGGCGATCAGACGAACCCTTGAGGCACTTTTGACGCGCCCCTTCCTTTAAGGGCCGATTAAGGGGTAAGGGGTAAGTTGCACACATCTGGAACCCGAGGTTGCGGCTAGATATTGACCCGAGGAATCGATTGCGACCCTTATTTTGGCGATCAGACGAACCCTTGAGGCACTTTTGACGCGCCCCTTCCTTTAAGGGCCGATTAAGGGGTAAGGGGTAAGTTGCACACATCTGGAACCCGAGGCTGCGGCTAGATATTGACCCGAGGAATCGATTGCGACCCTTATTTTGGCGATCAGACGAACCCTTGAGGCACTTTTGACGCGCCCCTTCCTTTAAGGGCCGATTAAGGGGTAAGGGGTAAGTTGCACACATCTGGAACCCGAGGCTGCGGCTAGATATTGACCCAAGGAATCGATTGCGACCCTTATTTTGGCGATCAGACGAACCCTTGAGGCACTTTTGACGCGCCCCTTCCTTTAAGGGCCGATTAAGGGGTAAGGGGTAAGTTGCACACATCTGGAACCCGAGGCTGCGGCTAGATATTGACCCGAGGAATCGATTGCGACCCTTATTTTGGCGATCAGACGAACCCTTGAGGCACCTTTGACGCGCCCCTTCATTTAAGGGCCGATTAAGGGGTAAGGGGTAAGTTGCACACATCTGGAACCCGAGGCTGCGGCTAGATATTGACCCGAGGAATCGATTGCGACCCTTATTTTGGCGATCAGACGAACCCTTGAGGCACTTTTGACGCGCCCCTTCCTTTAAGGGCCGATTAAGGGGTAAGGGGTAAGTTGCACACATCTGGAACCCGAGGCTGCGGCTAGATATTGACCCGAGGAATCGATTGCGACCCTTATTTTGGCGATCAGACGAACCCTTGAGGCACTTTTGACGCGCCCCTTCCTTTAAGGGCCGATTAAGGGGTAAGGGGTAAGTTGCACACATCTGGAACCCGAGGCTGCGGCTAGATATTGACCCGAGGAATCGATTGCGACCCTTATTTTGGCGATCAGACGAACCCTTGAGGCACTTTTGACGCGCCCCTTCCTTTAAGGGCCGATTAAGGGGTAAGGGGTAAGTTGCACACATCTGGAACCCGAGGCTGCGGCTAGATATTGACCCGAGGAATCGATTGCGACCCTTATTTTGGCGATCAGACGAACCCTTGAGGCACTTTTGACGCGCCCCTTCCTTTAAGGGCCGATTAAGGGGTAAGGGGTAAGTTGCACACATCTGGAACCCGAGGCTGCGGCTAGATATTGACCCGAGGAATCGATTGCGACCCTTATTTTGGCGATCAGACGAACCCTTGAGGCACTTTTGACGCGCCCCTTCCTTTAAGGGCCGATTAAGGGGTAAGGGGTAAGTTGCACACATCTGGAACCCGAGGCTGCGGCTAGATATTGACCCGAGGAATCGATTGCGACCCTTATTTTGGCGATCAGACGAACCCTTGAGGCACTTTTGACGCGCCCCTTCCTTTAAGGGCCGATTAAGGGGTAAGGGGTAAGTTGCACACATCTGGAACCCGAGGCTGCGGCTAGATATTGACCCGAGGAATCGATTGCGACCCTTATTTTGGCGATCAGACGAACTCTTGAGGCACTTTTGACGCGCCCCTTCCTTTAAGGGCCGATTAAGGGGTAAGGGGTAAGTTGCACACATCTGGAACCCGAGGCTGCGGCTAGATATTGACCCGAGGAATCGATTGCGACCCTTATTTTGGCGATCAGACGAACTCTTGAGGCACTTTTGACGCGCCCCTTCCTTTAAGGGCCGATTAAGGGGTAAGGGGTAAGTTGCACACATCTGGAACCCGAGGCTGCGGCTAGATATTGACCCGAGGAATCGATTGCGACCCTTATTTTGGCGATCAGACGAACCCTTGAGGCACCTTTGACGCGCCCCTTCATTTAAGGGCCGATTAAGGGGTAAGGGGTAAGTTGCACACATCTGGAACCCGAGGCTGCGGCTAGATATTGACCCGAGGTATCGATTGCGACCCTTATTTTGGCGATCAGACGAACCCTTGAGGCACTTTTGACGCGCCCCTTCCTTTAAGGGCCGGTTAAGGGGTAAGGGGTAAGTTGCACACATCTGGAACCCGAGGCTGCGGCTAGATATTGACCCGAGGAATCGATTGCGACCCTTATTTTGGCGATCCGACGAACCCTTGAGGCACTTTTGACGCGCCCCTTCGTTTAAGGGCCGATTAAGGGGTAAGGGGTAAGTTGCACACATCTGGAACCCGAGGCTGCGGCTAGATATTGACCCGAGGAATCGATTGCGACCCTTATTTTGGCGATCAGACGAACCCTTGAGGCACTTTTGACGCGCCCCTTCCTTTAAGGGCCGATTAAGGGGTAAGGGGTAAGTTGCACACATCTGGAACCCGAGGCTGCGGCTAGATATTGACCCGAGGAATCGATTGCGACCCTTATTTTGGCGATCAGACGAACCCTTGAGGCACTTTTGACGCGCCCCTTCCTTTAAGGGCCGATTAAGGGGTAAGGGGTAAGTTGCACACATCTGGAACCCGAGGCTGCGGCTAGATATTGACCCGAGGAATCGATTGCGACCCTTATTTTGGCGATCAGACGAACCCTTGAGGCACTTTTGACGCGCCCCTTCCTTTAAGGGCCGATTAAGGGGTAAGGGGTAAGTTGCACACATCTGGAACCCGAGGCTGCGGCTAGATATTGACCCGAGGAATCGATTGCGACCCTTATTTTGGCGATCAGACGAACTCTTGAGGCACTTTTGACGCGCCCCTTCCTTTAAGGGCCGATTAAGGGGTAAGGGGTAAGTTGCACACATCTGGAACCCGAGGCTGCGGCTAGATATTGACCCGGGGAATCGATTGCGACCCTTATTTTGGCGATCAGACGAACCCTTGAGGCACTTTTGACGCGCCCCTTCCTTTAAGGGCCGATTAAGGGGTAAGGGGTAAGTTGCACACATCTGGAACCCGAGGCTGCGGCTAGATATTGACCCAAGGAATCGATTGCGACCCTTATTTTGGCGATCAGACGAACCCTTGAGGCACTTTTGACGCGCCCCTTCCTTTAAGGGCCGATTAAGGGGTAAGGGGTAAGTTGCACACATCTGAAACCCGAGGCTGCGGCTAGATATTGACCCGAGGAATCGATTGCGACCCTTATTTTGGCGATCAGACGAACCCTTGAGGCACTTTTGACGCGCCCCTTCCTTTAAGGGCCGATTAAGGGGTAAGGGGTAAGTTGCACACATCTGGAACCCGAGGTTGCGGCTAGATATTGACCCGAGGAATCGATTGCGACCCTTATTTTGGCGATCAGACGAACCCTTGAGGCACTTTTGACGCGCCCCTTCCTTTAAGGGCCGATTAAGGGGTAAGGGGTAAGTTGCACACATCTGGAACCCGAGGCTGCGGCTAGATATGGACCCGAGGAATCGATTGCGACCCTTATTTTGGCGATCAGACGAACCCTTGAGGCACTTTTGACGCGCCCCTTCCTTTAAGGGCCGATTAAGGGGTAAGGGGTAAGTTGCACACATCTGGAACCCGAGGCTGCGGCTAGATATTGACCCAAGGAATCGATTGCGACCCTTATTTTGGCGATCAGACGAACCCTTGAGGCACTTTTGACGCGCCCCTTCCTTTAAGGGCCGATTAAGGGGTAAGGGGTAAGTTGCACACATCTGGAACCCGAGGCTGCGGCTAGATATTGACCCGAGGAATCGATTGCGACCCTTATTTTGGCGATCAGACGAACCCTTGAGGCACCTTTGACGCGCCCCTTCATTTAAGGGCCGATTAAGGGGTAAGGGGTAAGTTGCACACATCTGGAACCCGAGGCTGCGGCTAGATATTGACCCGAGGAATCGATTGCGACCCTTATTTTGGCGATCAGACGAACCCTTGAGGCACTTTTGACGCGCCCCTTCCTTTAAGGGCCGATTAAGGGGTAAGGGGTAAGTTGCACACATCTGGAACCCGAGGCTGCGGCTAGATATTGACCCGAGGAATCGATTGCGACCCTTATTTTGGCGATCCGACGAACCCTTGAGGCACTTTTGACGCGCCCCTTCGTTTAAGGGCCGATTAAGGGGTAAGGGGTAAGTTGCACACATCTGAAACCCGAGGCTGCGGCTAGATATTGACCCGAGGAATCGATTGCGACCCTTATTTTGGCGATCAGACGAACCCTTGAGGCACTTTTGACGCGCCCCTTCCTTTAAGGGCCGATTAAGGGGTAAGGGGTAAGTTGCACACATCTGGAACCCGAGGCTGCGGCTAGATATTGACCCGAGGAATCGATTGCGACCCTTATTTTGGCGATCAGACGAACCCTTGAGGCACTTTTGACGCGCCCCTTCCTTTAAGGGCCGATTAAGGGGTAAGGGGTAAGTTGCACACATCTGGAACCCGAGGCTGCGGCTAGATATTGACCCGAGGAATCGATTGCGACCCTTATTTTGGCGATCAGACGAACCCTTGAGGCACTTTTGACGCGCCCCTTCCTTTAAGGGCCGATTAAGGGGTAAGGGGTAAGTTGCACACATCTGGAACCCGAGGCTGCGGCTAGATATTGACCCGAGGAATCGATTGCGACCCTTATTTTGGCGATCAGACGAACCCTTGAGGCACTTTTGACGCGCCCCTTCCTTTAAGGGCCGATTAAGGGGTAAGGGGTAAGTTGCACACATCTGGAACCCGAGGCTGCGGCTAGATATTGACCCGAGGAATCGATTGCGACCCTTATTTTGGCGATCAGACGAACTCTTGAGGCACTTTTGACGCGCCCCTTCCTTTAAGGGCCGATTAAGGGGTAAGGGGTAAGTTGCACACATCTGGAACCCGAGGCTGCGGCTAGATATTGACCCGAGGAATCGATTGCGATCCTTATTTTGGCGATCAGACGAACTCTTGAGGCACTTTTGACGCGCCCCTTCCTTTAAGGGCCGATTAAGGGGTAAGGGGTAAGTTGCACACATCTGGAACCCGAGGCTGCGGCTAGATATTGACCCGAGGAATCGATTGCGACCCTTATTTTGGCGATCAGACGAACCCTTGAGGCACTTTTGACGCGCCCCTTCCTTTAAGGGCCGATTAAGGGGTAAGGGGTAAGTTGCACACATCTGGAACCCGAGGCTGCGGCTAGATATTGACCCGGGGAATCGATTGCGACCCTTATTTTGGCGATCAGACGAACCCTTGAGGCACTTTTGACGCGCCCCTTCCTTTAAGGGCCGATTAAGGGGTAAGGGGTAAGTTGCACACATCTGGAACCCGAGGCTGCGGCTAGATATTGACCCGAGGAATCGATTGCGACCCTTATTTTGGCGATCAGACGAACCCTTGAGGCACTTTTGACGCGCCCCTTCCTTTAAGGGCCGATTAAGGGGTAAGGGGTAAGTTGCACACATCTGGAACCCGAGGCTGCGGCTAGATATTGACCCAAGGAATCGATTGCGACCCTTATTTTGGCGATCAGACGAACCCTTGAGGCACTTTTGACGCGCCCCTTCCTTTAAGGGCCGATTAAGGGGTAAGGGGTAAGTTGCACACATCTGGAACCCGAGGCTGCGGCTAGATATTGACCCGAGGAATCGATTGCGACCCTTATTTTGGCGATCAGACGAACCCTTGAGGCACTTTTGACGCGCCCCTTCCTTTAAGGGCCGATTAAGGGGTAAGGGGTAAGTTGCACACATCTGGAACCCGAGGCTGCGGCTAGATATTGACCCGAGGAATCGATTGCGACCCTTATTTTGGCGATCAGACGAACTCTTGAGGCACTTTTGACGCGCCCCTTCCTTTAAGGGCCGATTAAGGGGTAAGGGGTAAGTTGCACACATCTGGAACCCGAGGCTGCGGCTAGATATTGACCCGAGGAATCGATTGCGACCCTTATTTTGGCGATCAGACGAACTCTTGAGGCACTTTTGACGCGCCCCTTCCTTTAAGGGCCGATTAAGGGGTAAGGGGTAAGTTGCACACATCTGGAACCCGAGGCTGCGGCTAGATATTGACCCGAGGAATCGATTGCGACCCTTATTTGGGCGATCAGACGAACCCTTGAGGCATTTTTGACGCGCCCCTTCATTTAAGGGCCGATTAAGGGGTAAGGGGTAAGAGCTAGGGCCAAATAAAGGTCATATTCTTGCTCCCCGTCCCCCAATTGACCAAATATGTGTTTTTTAAGCGATTCTGAATCCGACGCTGTATTCGTTGCTGTTGCTGACGCTAACTTCACGGACATTCTTTTGATTGCTTTTGTTGTGTGCGCTCTCGAGCCGTCGTGCTGCGCTGTCTCAGTTTTCACGAGTTTTGAGAGGCGTTGAATATTTAGAAGTGATTTATAGAATTCGGCGCTGAACTGGCTGAACTGGATACAAAGCTGATAAATTTTCCATTTTTGTTCAGGGCCCTATATACTAAAGTGCAAATATACTCCTCTTCAAATCTTCGGCTGCTACGGTGTGCTTTTGTGCTATTGGCTTTTGGTTTGAAGTATTTTTATTTATTTTTCATGCTGTTCAACTGCTTTCATTCTTATAATGATAAGCTTTGAGCAATCACGTTTGAAACCCAGCGTCACAGCGTTCTCATCGTTCAGAATTTGAAATAAAATCAGCCCAATCTTATTTCATTTAATTGGAAACTTTGATTGGTACCAATTTTTGAATGTTATCACTTGTTTTCTCTAGCAAATTATGTTTGTATTACACAAATTAACTAATATCTGAAGACTGGATGCTCATGACGGTTACCATCACATGGACAGATTTGCATAAGGATTGACTTCACTGTCTGTCTTTCACAGGCACTTAATCAGTGTGAGACCAGCCAGCACTAACGCTCATCACCATGAGCAGCAGCCTGATGGCCGAGGATGAGTGTGAGGTGGAGCTGCGTGACCTAGTCACTGAGGCTCTGGAGAACAATGGGGTGCTGCCCAAACTACGGGCTCAGCTGCGGGCCAGTGTGTTCTTGGCTTTAGATGAAACAGCGGGCTCAGGTAGCGGTGACCAGTCATCCCGCTTTCAAAGCGAGGCACTGCTGAGCGTAGCTGGGCGCCCAGTCGGCAGGCGCTGTCTGGCACTGGTGCGAGAGCTTCTGGCCTGCCTCCAGCTGGACTGTACATTGTCTGTGCTGGATGCTGAGCTGGAGTCAGTGGCTGGCTGGCGGGAGGAGCGGCCGCGGCTGGCGGCGGCGCTGGGTCTCAGCCCGACCGAGCACGAGCCAGTGCTGGTCGCGCTGTTGGAGGCCCACAGCGGCGCCAGCGGCGGCGGAGCTACGACGTCCCCGCCGGCCACCGGCACCAGCACGGGCGCCGCACCGACCCCCGACCCGGAGCCGGCCTCGGCCGCCGACTCTGGCCCGGCCGCCGGCAGCGGCTCCGCCTCGGCATCCGACGAAGAGGACTCGTTCTTCGACAGTCTGCCGAAGGTGCGCAGCCTGGGTGTGTCGCGGCCCACCGCCGAGCCGCCGCCGCCGTCCCTGCCCGCCGCACGGCCGGTGGGTGAGCTGCCCCCGCTGACCGGCCGCGGCACGCTGCCGCCGCTCCGGCACGGCCAGCTGCCGAGTCTCTCCGCCGCCCCCGCTCCCGCCGAGAAGCCGCCTGCCGAGCCGGAGCGGGACGCGACCGACGGCAGCATCTCCGAGGACCTGGACCTGGGCGGCGACTCGATCCTCTCCGAACTACAGTCGGATGGCCTCACTGACGACGTGTCCATAAAATCAACGGCAGACTTGCAGGCTGACGTCATCGAGAACATGTAGCGGCAGGTGATGAATAGGCTCTTCATCACTCCATGGACAGACATTGGCGCGATCCGTCCATGGTTGCGGAACCTTGAAACTGCTCATATCGAGGCGTGCTGTGACGGGTCCAGGACAGAACAACCGACAACTGTGGTATGATCGACGGAATGAATGCTTGTCAGCGATGGACGTGAGTGAATGGAGCTCATTGATGGTCCTTGTTTGAGACGAACTGTCGGTTTTTCTTACCCCCGAGGACCCACGGCATCTGCGTCAGTCTGTGGACATGATCCGTCAAAACATAGTCCGTCCACGCATCTTGGTGACGCGCGTTCATGCGGTGTTCTGTGCCATACCATATCGCGCTGTCTCTGTAACTGCGGCTGTGGAATGTAGATTCGAGAAGTGTGCTGCCGCCGTCATTCAACGGACATTTGTAAATAGTTCGAGTGCTGGACATCATCCGTTCTATCTCACTTCATCATCATAATGTGTGTCAATAAACAAGTTTGATGTGCTTAGAATTAGTTGGTCGATGCAGAATGACAGTTATCGTACATACGCATGACAATTACGGGTATTGGAATGCGATTTCACCTAACGGTAACGTTGCGCTGACAATCCTATCCGAACCAGCGCTGCAGCCTACTATCAATAACCGACCCAGTCACCCACACCTCTGGCCAACGCACAACTCACGTGCCATTTACAGTATATTGCATCAAGATACGAAAATACGATCTTCACAACAGACCCTCAACATTGACAGGCGTCGTCCAATCGCTCCAGCGGCGACTCGTGGGTCCGCCGGTCCGGCGAATATCGCGGCTCTGCCCTGTTCAGCGGTCAGTATGACCGACCGGCCCCACAGAGCAGCGGGCGGGGCTACCAGTGCATGTGCAGCGAGACAGCGCGGCGCCAGCGGTATTCAGACAACGCAGCGGGGGCAGCAACGGAGAGCGGACTCGGGCCGACGACACAGCGGGTAAGTAGGACGGCTTTAAAGCAGACTTTCCACCGGCTTGCTGAGCGCGACATGCAACACAACAGCACCCTGACCTGGACTGTCCGGATCTGATAAACATACTGGAAGATATGCGGTACTATATAAACGACGCACAAGGCTGAAACATAACCGTAACACATAACGCATTATCAAAAGACGGCGATGTCGTCCTCGCCACACTCCATCTTGTACTATACGCAACAACTCTCGCGGAGCGCGACGTGTTCGAGCGAGGCCCGAGTCAGACTGACTACAGACCGACTGTATAAACATTTGAGTCAACTGACCACCCTGGCGTCATGACCTCATAGCCTTAAGTATCACCGAGCATACAACCGGGATTTCCGCGCACAACATCCAGGCGCCCATCGTTCGTCTTCGCGTCGCATGCATCTTCGAGCTCCTTGATCTGTGCGGATCGTCTTGAGATACGTTATCAGCTCGCACAAATTCACGCGACACGGGATAAGCGACCGGAAGGCAGGCCTGATAGGCCACATATGCGAGATTGACCCCATTCATCCAGATTCTGTGCAATTCCGGTCTCCCACGGTACATGTACATGAAACGTTGCCCGACGCTACATATAATCCCCTGTGCTCCGCGCATGTGCCTCCAAAGTCGATCGGGGCCTGTCCATGACCGCTTCGTCAAGTGACCATCCAGCCACCAACAACCAACAGTTATCTACCAGCGCCACATCCGAACGCTCTTACTCATCATCACTGTACGAAACGCATCCCTCCTTGAAATCGACACCACGCGGTGTCATGTTGCGTCTCACAGTCCGCTCCCCAATCACATATACTGCGAGGCCAGCGCTATCTCGTAGCTGCGCTCGTCCTCACTGACACTGCTGTCGTGGCTGCGCTGGCCGCCGGCGGGAGAAGAGTCGGCGCCGGCGGCGGCCGGGGCAGAGCCGGCCGGCGGACTGGAGCCCGCCTCCGACTCGGGCGGCACAGGAAGGTCCAGGATACGGAGTACAGGCGCCGGCACCCGACTGCCGTCCCGGAACTGGCCGTAGATGGTCTCCGCCAGCTTCAGACTCGACTCCAGGTCGATGTGCATTGATAGATCGTTGATGTGCTGGAAAGGACAGGAAGAAATTCAGACGCAATGGGCCATAGGTACACAGTGCTGCCGTCCAAAGGCAAAAGCGCATATGTCGGGTCAGGTCATCACCCGACATATGCGTTTTTGCCTTTGGACGGCAGAGTGATGCAACAAGGCAGGGAGAAGACATACGGGATCTTGACAAATCATCGTAGCTTTTAGTTTTACTCGGGGCATAACGTCAAATAATCGGGAAAAGGCACAGTCAAGTTTCGGGGAAAATCAATCTCAATCCGTAACTCGCTGAGCTTACTCGGTAAGCTACCGACATCACACCAGAATATGGAGCGCTAGAACTTCAGCAGTTTTTGTACCACCAAGTGAAATTCGGTCATAGAGTCGTGATGTCATACCTTGACGATGGCCGAGAACCCCAGCTCGGACTCTATGATGGTCGACCTTTGTTGGACGAGCACTGCCAGCGCCACCAGCAGTACAAAGTTGGAGCAGGGCAGGCCGGTCCACAGCACCTCCCACAGTCGCTGGATGTCGGGCCAGTCCAGCTCGCGCTTAAACCATACCAGCAGCCACCTGGGAGGCGGTAGGGGTAAGACAATAGCATGGATGAGATAATACTATTATCTGATCCATGATAGGAGTAAACATCAGCAGCTAGTCAGCAAACCCAGCGGGCAGCGAACGGTTATCACCTATGCATAACGAAAACCATCAGTCACCATCGTATTGGGGGAGAATTGGGGAAATAACTACAGGAAGAATAACTGTAGGAAGAAAGCCAATTCAGCCATCACCGTCTGTGAACGAAACACGTGGTACATCCGCAATGTATGTACTCGTACACTTATCCGCCATTAGCCTACCGCGGTAATAAGCAACGGTTTAAACGCTACTCCCGTCATTTAATTGCAATGCAAAACTTTCCGTTTCGCCGAACAGCCTCCAACGATCGACTGGGCACTGACCTGAACGTGAACGACATCTGGCTGGACTCGTTCCGGTCCAGGTACGAGCATAAGGTCGGGTCGTACACCTGTAGAAGCGCGTGCAGGTCCGAGAACTGCTGCTCCATTCCCTTCTGGGTCAGCTCGAAATTACCGCACTGTAACAGCGCGAAGCAGGGTCGTAAGCATATGAACCTGTTAAATAATATTCAATACCACAGTACTGAATTATCATAGATGGAGTGAAGATAACAGAATGCAGAATGCAGATACAAATTGCTTACTTATGTTCTCTTGACTTTACGGAAATAAAATCAAAAGGCAGATTACAGCAGGAAAGGCGCAAAGCGCGTCAGCACCATAGGGAAATTTCAGATGGTCTTACCACTCGTTCCATGAAGCCAACAAAGCACCAGAAGGCGTCCACCTCGTCCTTCACCACGAACAGAATCGGACTGAGAAGGTCCGACATGCCCTGAAACAGAGCACAATTAAGTCACAAGCCGGCTGTCGACTCACGGCTAGCACAACGAGAACAGTCCCGGCTGCACACTATTGAGATTAAATTATTTCAGAGGTTTCGTAAATCAGGCGCAGCAACAACCGTTACATACCCAAAGTCGTGAGTGTGACAAAAATTGTGACGACCGACAATTATTTCGGGTGTGAGGGCACCAAAGCTACGCAGCTCATCAACCGAAGTAACTCTGCGATATGAAATCGACGTCAGGTGGCCGTCGAGGACTGGGGAGCGCACATAATAACGACGATAAGTTTACCAGAAAATCTGGACAGGAGCGCAACGCGCTCCTGTCCAGATTTTCCTGAGCGCAACGCGGATGAGCTGCTGAGCGCAACGCGGGATGAGGACGGCGGAATGCCGAGGACAGTGGCCCACCTGAACATATCCGAGGTCGAAGTTGTACATGCAGTAGGTGACGAGGATGTCGTGCAGCAGCGTGATGTTGGACGTGCCGGAAAAGAAGGCCTCGCCGCGGTCCGTCCGAGTCACGTCCTTTTCTGCACGCAGACAGAAAAGGGGGAAGATCAGAACAAAAACTCAGCTGATACGCGCACAAAGCAGACTGAACATGACCATACACTACATGAGGCTAGTTTGGATATTGGACAGAGGTGAAGCATAACACCTGCTTGGATGCTAACTTACATCTATGCCAGGCGACATCACGCCTCTCCTAATACTCCCCCACTGTTTTAACGCCCATCTTTCCACACTCCACAGCCCTCCCCTACACCGGTGGTCGCTAGCTGTTGTTGTTTGTCCCCCTGGGACCTCCTTACGGAGGACCATAGCCAAAAGGCTCCCTATGGCGAAGGTAGCCGGCCTCCAAGGCAGCCACCAGGTCGGCGTCCCGCAGCCGCGACGGGTCGACGCTAGCTCCACTCACCGACCAGCGCGCGTCGGTCTCGCAGGCCGGTGAACCTCGTCAGCTGCTTCTCCGACATGGACGCCCACTGCAGCTTCATCCGGAAGTAGTCGTCGCGTCGCTGGTCCCGCGCCGCCCGCCGCTCCTCGGTCGTCAGCTCGGGCCGCTCGCAGTCCAGCAGGAACGGCCACACGGAGGCGCGCAGCTGCGGCTCCACGCCCTGCCGATCAGGTTCGAGTCAGGTTGCCACTCAATATGTGGGAGCAGAGGCAGGCAGCTGCGGCTACACTTCCTATCCCTGCTGCCCAGGTCAGGTCGGGTCAAGTCAGGTCAGGTCAGGTCGGGTCAAGCCAGGTCAGGTCAGATCAAGTCCATTTTAAGTTCTTGTATATGTGTGTATGTTAGGGTGGTCCACATCTACATGGTAAAAAATAAAGTTCGTCAGATTCATCGGGCCGGGTCGGAATTCTTGTCGATACTATAGCACAAGCTTCTGTGCAAAATTCCATTAAGATCGGATGATTTTTTCCCGTCCCGCAAGTTTCCATTATACGTACCAGTCTTTAGTATAGGGCGAATATTCGTCTTTCAACATTGCCCAGTCGTGCCAGCGGCTATCTACCAATGAGCTTGCCTGCTAATCGCACCAGCCCTCTCTAGCCTTCTCAATGATAGATCTAGTCTTCCTATCAGCCACAGACAGGAACGATAATCCACAATTCCTGTTGCAGTTCCTGTTCTCCAGTGCCAGTAGCAAGCCACTATATGCCAGGAGGTGCTATATGCATTACGCTAATTGTGGCTCTGCCTGCGTTTGGGATCGCCGCTGCAGCTGCAAGAGGCACACGCTCAATCACCAAAATGTGGCTTGTTTTGGCAGCCAGAAAAAAGCAAATCCTTGCTGGATGAAACAGTCTCTTACGAACGAGCAAGTGCAGGGCGCCTCTTTCACTTGGCACTCACCATCCATCTTCCGGCCCCGGGCTCCCGAGATCCCGTCGTTCAAGCGGTTTGTAAAGTGGTGGCAGCTCACGGAACGAGTGTCCCGCTCAATTACTTAATCGATTTCGCCGACAAGATGATCGCCACCTGATGCGCGTTGCTGATGAAGC